GTGTGTGTGTGTGTGTGTGTGTGTGTGTGTGTGAGAGAGAGAGAGAGAGAGAGAGAGAGAGAGAGAGAGAGAGAGAGAGAGAGAGATGGCCGGTGGGCGCCCACCTTCATTGCTGCTCGCCCGTTTCCCACTGCCCGCTGCCTCTTCCCGCCGCTTCGAGTTGATGGTGTCCTGCTGCTGATGTCGGCGATGGTGTCCCGCCGTGTCCCTCCCTCCCTCCTTCGTCTGTCTCCCGCCCCCGCGCTGCTTCTCGCCTTCGTCACCCTTCCCCGCGCTGCTTCCCGCCTTCGGTGCCCGCTCCAAGATCCGAATGTTGTCCCCCTTGTCCGAAAATGTTTTTGGGGGAAGGGTCTGCCAATTTCGAAATTTCGAAATCGGCAGGCCCTTCCCCCAAAAAAATTTTTGGAGGCGGGGCGCGACCGGTTTCTGGACTCGCGCGCCCCGGCCGTCATTTTTGCCGGGGTGGGGGCCTGCCTTGGTAACGAAAACCGAAGAATTTTTTTTTTTTGGCCGACCCCTATTTTTCGCGGTTTGGGGCGCCGCGGTGCGCCTGCCGTGCGCGGCTCTACGTGTGCTGCTCGTGCGCAAACCGGCGCACCGTCGTGCGCCGCAACTATTATCATGTTATATCCAGTTTTTCTGGTGTTCTGTAATTCGGGGCGGCACTTAGCCTTCTTCCTCATTCGGGATATATGTTTTAAAAGATGGTCGAATCTGGGCTGATATCTACGTAGTTGCTTTGTTCTGTGCCCAGAACGACGCTGACTGGAGCTGGGGGGTTGCCCTGTAACCTGCAAACGAAAGGAGTGTGAGGCCTTGTAGAGAGATCTGGGGATTAGTCGAAGGAGGAAGACAATCCAGTGGTGAACTGGGGGGTGCTACTAGGACAGCCTATGGGTCCAGGTTTTGTCTAGGTGGCGAGAACAGGATAGCTATGGTTGATGTTGGCTAGGATGACATTGTCTCTGAGAGGTAATGTCCTGGATCAGGGAGGGCTAGGGGTTGTTCTAGGATTAGAAGGCCAGATTTGCTGATATAGCATAGACGTCTAGTGGTGTCTGCTCTTACCAGCACCACTAACACTGACGAGACGAGGGTTCGCAAAAAGAAAAAGAAAGAAAAAAAAAAGCATAGACTTCTAAAATTTTTCACACACTAATCGCCATCATCATTAGCATCATTATCATTAGTATCATTATCTCACATTTCTCATACAATCATCAGAAGTTCATTACCAAGAAAAAAAATAAAAATTAATCAATCATGTTATATCCAGTTTTTCTGGTGTTCTGTAATTCGTGGCGGCACTTGGCCTTCTTCCTCATTCGGGATATATGATTTAAGAGATGGTCGAATCCGGGTTGATACCTACGTAGTTGCTTTGTTTTGTGCCCCTGGTATGCCAATGACAGAACGACGCGGGCCGGAGCTGGGGCGTTGCCCTGTAACCTGCAAATGACAGGAGTGTGAGGCCTTGTAGAGAGATCTGGGGATTAGTCGAGGGAGGAAGACAATCTAGTGGTGAACTGGGGGGTGCTACCAGGACAGCCTATGGGTCCAGGTTTAGTCTAGGTGGCGAGAACAGGATAGCTATGGTTGATGTTGGCTAGGATGACATTGTCTCTGAGATTAATGTCCTGGTTCAGGGAGGGTTAGGGGTTGTTCTAGGATTAGAAGGCTAGATTTGCTGATATAGCATAGACTTCTAAAATACTTCACATACTAATTGCCATCATCATTAGTATCATTATCCCACATTTCTCATACAATCAGTAGATTCTGAAGATCATCATCATCATCATCATCAGCAGCAGCAGCAGCATAATCATCATCATAGGAGGGACGCTGAGCCCGGTTCTCAGCTTGTTCGGTTCAGTTTCTCCGGGTAGACTCTGAGGACCCCGCCTCAAACTTCTTATTCAATTTGGTAATATCAGCCTTGGGTACTGGGCCCATTTTGTTAAAAAAAAGAAAAAAAAGAAAAAAAAAAGTGGTTTGGCGAGGCCCTAAGAGGACTGCTGTTTTTGCAAGAAGAAAAAGCATCCTGACAGGGTTAGTTTTGTTCTTTTCCAAAGCTAGCTTCGTATCCACCCTAAAACCAGTTGCATCACTAGCAGACTAACCGCACTAAGAGGACTGCTGTTTTTCCAAGAAGAAAAAGCATTCTGACAGGGTTAGTTTTGTTCTTTTCCAAAGCTAGCTTCGTATCCACCCTAAAACCAGTTGCATCACTAGCAGACTAACCGCACTCACAACGCCGACTGAGTCTGCCAGGACCAGACAAGTCTGAAAAGGGGGCCTGCAATAAGCGGAATTGGTAGAGCCTGTCAGACCTAAGGGGAGGAATGAGTACTTTGTTTAGTCAAATATAAACTAAATGTAGATGATTTAGGTAACAAGAATGACAGTCTGCAATTCCTGATAGCGGGTAGAGCCATCGTAATGGAGTTCCAATAAGGGTTGGGAACCACATGCAGCCCCAACGGGATTTGGAGCTCGAGAACATGTACAATGAGAAACAGGCCCCACCTGTCTAACCTTGTCATGTAGGCTTCCCGCTCAGGTCACTGAGTTGTCGTGGGGACTATCGGTCAAATTCCGTATTCTGAGAGCGGTCCTCACGACTGGCAGTAGCTACAATCGGGTGTTTTGGCAAATAAGCAACTTTGATGTTCAGGGACGCTGGACCCGATTTCCAGCAGGTGTTGCTCCCCACCAATAGACGGAACCTCCCCGACAGTGATAGTGGTGTCTGCTCTTATCAGCACCCCTAGCACTACCTCGGGTTGTTCATCCAAAAAAAAAAAAAGACAGAGACAGATGAAAAAGCAAAAGACAATGGAGCTGTCAGAGTTTAGATTTCTATTGCAACCCCTGTCAGAGTGTATCTTTTTTATTTTTTTTATTTTTTTATTTTTTTATTTTAGTCCATGGTGTTGTGGAGGCCAGTCACTGTGTACACAGTGATCACCTGGAGCAGTAGGCCGTGGGTGTCCTGGAATATGAGACCACCTCCCATCCCATCCTCACGTCAATACTCCTAGC